GGGAGGAGGGAGGAGGAGAAAGGACGAGGAGGAGGAGGAGTAGAGGAGGAGGGGAGGAGGAGGAGGAGGAGCAGCAGGAGGAACAGGAGGAGCAGGAGGAGGACCAGTTCAAACCCAAGACTCATCGACGATTTTGCAGTTGCGCCTTGACGATCTTGAAGAAGGGGGAGGAGGAGGAGGAGGAGGAGGAGGAGGAGGAGGAGGAGGAGGAGGAGGAGGAGGAGGAGGAGGAGGGGGGAGGAGGAGGAGGAGGAGGAAGGGGAGTGGAAAGGGTATTTCTTACTCGACGAATGGGGCTACGTGCCAAGCCGATCAGGCAAAGTGGAGTATAGTGTCTGGCAGCCCGTCACAGGACCGGCGACATCGCATGCAGGCAGGTGCGCGCATGCAATGCTGCGACGATGGGACGGGCTCAGAGGCCGTCTTCAAAAAGTCGGACATTACATTGTGTTCACATGCGGTGAGCGGCACTGGTGGGGCCCCAGTTGGAAACCATTGCAAGGAGCATCGGCGCAAATGTATCGGGATGGTCCCTCCGTTCTGTCTGGGGGCCTAGAGAACGATGAACAATGCACGGCACCTCGAGGCATGGGAATAGGACGGAGTGCGCCCATTCGAGTCTCAAGGACATTAGCCAGAAGCCGCGAAAGGGGGCGAAGGGGAGGGAGGAGGTTGAGGCACCGTGCCCTCGAGGGTCTCCCCTCTCACAAGCAAAATCGGCGCTCTCGCCGTTGCCATACCTGCCGCCGTCACCGCAGCAACGCCTCCAGCCACGTGCTCACTTCGTCTTCCAACCAGCCTGGCGGCGCCACTGCAGTGTGGCGCGTCACCTTGCCTTTCGTCCCATCGTGCCTCTTCTCGAGGCGGACTGTCTCGACGCCGATTTCGATGGCCTGCCTGCTGATGGTCGGTTCGGCCCCCGACGGGGGCATATGATCTGGTCTATGTAGGCTTGCAGGCCATTGCGAGACTTGCCCCCGACATCGCAGGTCGCCAAGCTCTCGAAGAGAGGAAGTGCGAGGGCCGCCACCGGGCTACCGACGTCGCGCAGCGTTTCGATCCCCAGCTTGCGTGTTGTCTCGACCTCTTTCCTGTACTCAGCGAGCTTCTCCTCGAGCCTCTCGGCGACCACGTGGTTGTTGTCCATGGTGGTTGAGCTGATGCGCTGCTTGTGCGCCGTCTGCAGACTCAGCTTGCAGAGCGCGACGAGGCACTGCAGGAGGGCATGGTCTTGGGGGAGGAGGAGGTCAGGAGGAGGAGGAGGAGGAGGAGGAGGAGGAGGAGCCCCCCCCCCCCCTCGGTTATCAGCAAGGGAGTGTTGGTAGCAAATCGTGGGAGCATTGCATGTCCTCGAAATTCAGGCTTCAGAGTGTATTAGCGTGCGCTAGCGTCTGGTAATCGATGGGAAAGCGCCGATTCAGCATCGATTTAGCGTCGGTTCGCGTCGAGTAGCGTCGATTGGCGTCGATTTGCAAGTGCTGACAAGCTGGAATGGGAGGCTCCAATGAGTTGCCACCGAAGGAGGGAGGGGGGGAGGTCAACACAAGGGAGAGGGAGGTGCTTCGTGATTTTGTCCTTCTGGGGGCCCTCGCCAGGCCCCAGGACCGTGCTGCTCGGCATGCAAAACCCGCCCTGGGAAAGGGGGCGGATCTACGGGTCGGACGGGCCCGAAGCAGCGCAGAAGGGAGTGCGGCGGAGGGCGGGGGGGAAAATCAGGAGGATAAGGGAGGGGAGGGTCCCCAAGGGGGAGGGCGGACAAGGTCTGGATGTCGTCGTCGAAGGCGGAGGGGGTGAGGCAGGTTTCTCGAACTCTTTGGGGTCTCCTCGCCCCAGGATGCGTTCCAGGAGCTCTTATTCTTATTATTATTATTCTTCTTTGTATTATTATGTTTCTTATTCTTATTATTATTATTATTATTATTGTTATGATTATTATTATTACTGCCCCTCGTCGGGAGCGCTTTGGGGGTGCCCAGATCGTCTCGAAGGGCCGCCGGAGTCCCGAGCTAGGACCAGAAAACCACCGGGCCGCCAGGTCATCGGGAGGGAGAGGGACCCACAGGGCTTGAGCGCCAGGATAGATCGATGCAGGTCGACGCGGTCCGACTTACATCCAGAGAAGTGCTGCAAGTCCAGGGATCTATAGCTCAGGCGATCACAAACATGGATCAAGGGGGCGTGGATTTGCGACGGGTCCCGCTTCCATGGAAAATCGCGGATTTCCGCCGCCGAGCGAGGCGGCACCGGCCGCATTTTGGGGGAGGGCACCACCCCCGATCCATGGATTTGGCGACCGACCGCGCGCCAAATCCATGGATCGCTAATCCATGTTTGCGCGCCACCGATATAAGGAAATCTTGATGAGTCGTGGAAGATCTAGTGGGAGTCGCTGAACCGCACAACTCGTTACGCCCTCAGCGAGACGAAGCGAGGAGGAGGTTGGGAGGAGGAGGAGGAGGAGGAGGAGGAGGAGGAGGAGGAGGAGGAGGAGGAGGAGGAGAAGGAGGAGGAGGAGGAGGAGGAGGAGGAAGAGGGGGAGGGGGAGGGGGAGGGGGTGGAGGAAGAGGAGGAGGAGGAGGAGGAGGAGGAAGAGATGAGGAGAAGGAGGAGGAGGGACGAATGAGGAATAGAAGAAGAAGATGGAGGACCAGAGTAGACTCAAGATGCATCAACGATGCTGCAAGACACCCTCCCGTCTCCAGCCCCTGCCCCACGAGGCTATCTGGGCCTGCCGTCCTTCTCTCGACAAGAGACGCTCCCTTGAGAGACCAGTATACCGCACGGGCCTGCCAGCCAGGCAGGAGCCCCGCTCTGAAAAGGAGCTTGTTCGCATTCCTCTGGCGAGCGACAAGTTCGGCATCGCTCGGACGTGTGCTTTATTTCTCGGCAGGGGCCATCGAGGAGCATTCTGGGTCATCCTGCGACCAAACAAAAACGCACGAAGCCGAACAAAAAGCACGGGGAATGGACGTCCGAGCGATGGCGAGCCGAAGAAGACGACAACCTACAGTCGAGACCCATGCCGCGAGACACCCTGCTTGCCTCCAGGGTGCCCTGGGTTTCTTGGGTTTCGATGGCTCTGCCATGGAAAAGGCGTGACGTGCCCACATCGAAAATCGGGGGGCGTCCTGGGCTCGGAGACCCAGCCCTGCGACTCGCAGGGTTGGGTCTCTTGTGGAAGGTCTCTTGTGGACCGGCCTCCGCCGTGTGGCTCCACGCTGGCCTTCGCGACGACGTGCCCGGCGAGGCCTCCCCCCCCGTCCCGCGAGAGGGGCGCCCCCCCCCCCCCCGCCCCCCCACACGGGCGCAGCTGCTGCACGGAAGCCCACGCGCTCCTGGCCAGGAACTTCGCGGGGGGAGGGGCCTCCAAGGAGGAGGAGGAGGAGGAGGAGGAGGAGGAGGAGGAGGAGGAGGAGGAGGAGGAGGAGGAGGAGGAGGAGGAGGAGGAGAGGAGAGGAGGAGGAGGAGGAGGAGGAGGAGGAGGAGGAGGAGGAAGAGGGAGGCGGAGGAGGAGGAGGATAGGGAGGAGGAGGAGGACGAGGAGGAGGGGGGCGGAGGAGGAGGAGGAGGAGGAGGAGGAGGAGGAGGAGGAGGAGAAGGAGGAGGAGAGGGGGCGGAGGAGGAGAGGAGGAGGAGGAGGAGGAGGAGGAGCCCCACTTCTTGAGGAGGAGCCGCTCCCCACCTCTGCGGCTGCGAAAAACGTGCCCGAGCGGCCAGCCCCCCAGGTTCGAGGCAATCCTCGAGCGAGAGCCCCCCGCCAGAGCAGGGACCGCCCTCCAGCGCTGAGAAAAAAAGCCCAGCTCGAGAGAGGGAGCCGCCCTGCATCCTTGCCTCCTCCTCCTCCTCCTTCTCCTTCTCCTCCTCCTCCTCCTCCTCCTCCTCCTCCTCCTCCTCTTTTGCGGCAAGCATTTGAAACGGATGTGCGCAGCGCCGGGGTGAAGTCGGGCATGTCCCCCTAGAGGAGGAATTTTCAAAATTGTTTGAAAACCAGGTTTCGGCTACGTTTGACTTGTTGTTGAACATTAATTGGCGGTCCTTTTTATGGCTTGAGTCCTCATGCAGGAGGACATGCCCGACCTAACGCTAGGGCGAGAGTACCGGTCTGAGAAAAGGACCCGCCCCCCGTCCCAGTTTTGTAGTGGTTTTTTGACCAGTGCCGCCTATCCGGGGCGCTCCCGATGGTGCCCAGATTCGCTTGGAGGCCTATGGGGCCGTCTTGGGGCCCCGTTGGGGCCGTCGTCGGATGGAGGAGGCCTCTTGAGGGGGTCTTTGGGCCTCTCGGGGGCCTCATGGAAACCTGTTTAGGCTGTCTTAAGGCGTTCCTGGCCCGTCGGGCGCCGTCGGAAGCCGTCTTGGGCGCCTCGCTGTGCCGTCCGGCAGCACTCTGGGGGCGCGTCAGGGCCGTCTTGGAGGCTATCTTGGCCGTCATGGGAGCCTATAAGGCCGTCTTGGGACCCTCTTGGGGCCGTCTTCTTAGGGGCCTCTTGGGCCGTCATGGGGCCACCTCGGAGGCCTCTGGAGCGATCTTGGGGGCCTCTGGGCCGTCGGAAGGCCGAAAAGAATGAAGCGCCCAAACCCTTCAAATAGAAGATCAATGATTTCCGCCTCTTCGGGCTTCTTTTGGAGGGCATTCTGGGCCATCTAGTGTGCATCTTGAGCCGTCTGGGAAATATCTGGCGGCCATCTTGGGCTCTCTAGCCCCGAAGGGGTGGCGGATTTTATACGTGTCCCAGCCCCACCCAGAAAGTTGGCGTGCCAGCATTTCAATGTGCGGGAGGTGCTTCCACATCTCAAGGAAGACGGGGAAGAAATGAGGATGAGGAGGATGGGAAAGGGCGGAGAATAGAAATGGGAGGAGGAGGAGGAGGAAGAGGAGGGCGGGAAAGCGAGAGGGAGATGAGGAGAAGGAGGAGGAAAGGGCGAACCAGAAGAGGGGGGGAAAAAGAGGAGAGGGCAGGAGCGGGGGGGGGGAACGGGGAGCAGGGGATCAGGAGAGGAAGTTGGAGGTGAAGGATCGATGACGGAGGACGATGGAGCTCCCGTTCAGCGGTCGATTTGAAGACCAACGATAGCGATGCGTGCTTCGGCGTCCGCACCCACGTGAGATGGCGTCGTTCCGTCTGGGGGTCCAGCGAAGGCCGTGGACCGTAAGGGAGCATACAGAAAGCATTGGTTACGTGCAACGATGCTGGCCTCCTGCCACCTATCGCACACGTGAGCGATGGAGGTGATGGGTGGATGGTTGGCGGACGTGTGTTGTTCACGTTCGTTGGTATATTGCACAAGTCGAGCGGTCATCTCCTTGCAGTCTTTCTCGAGGACGGTGCGACGAGAGCCGCAGGGAGAAGGGGGGAGCGTGGGAGTTGGTAGAGGAGTAGGAGGAGAAGCAGAAGTTGGAGGACTCGAGAGGCGAAGGCATTGGAGGATCCTCACTAGCAGGGCAGATAGTACGCGTCCCGTTTCGTTCGGTCGAACCAGAGATCCAACACGGTTGGCCGCACTCCCCACCATCACGTCGATCAATGATTTGCACTTATTGCAGTCACATTGCACCATTTGTCAAAAGTACCAGATTAGTTGTTACATGTTTCTGGGTGGCCGCCCGTTCGAGTATCTTTCCTCAGCTAGGCGGGCAGCACCAGACCCTTAATGTTTCTCTGCACGGGGCATCGCACGCCCAGCAGAGGAGAAGGAGGCGGGGGTTGTGGGATGCAGATGAATGTGAGTGACATGCAGGGGAGAATATACACTTGGCCAAATCGGTCGCATCCGACGTCACTGACAACAGGGGTGTGTTAGACATGGGCCGACGACCAAATATGTCATAGGTGTGTGACTGTGCGTGTCCTCAGATTTGTAAACATGTGCGCGATAAGCCCCGACACCGTGCCAGCGCAGCAGCGCAGCAGGAAGGAGGTCGAGTTTAACAGGTTGCTATGTCCGAACCAACGCGGGTCTTAAGCACAACCCTCATCTTTGTGTGCACCCGTGTTGTCCCCATCTTCATTCGCATGTGAGGTTTATTTGCAGCGTCGTCGGAGCCAACTCGGAGCAACGTCGGGCCCTCCTGGGGGGGGGCGGTCGGGGCTGGTCGCGGGCTTGGGGGCAGTATTGGGTGCAATTGTTCCGCAGAGCTCTCCCGAAGAGGCTGAGTTGCACCATCTTTTGGGCGGGTGGGCGGGTATAGGGGCAGCATTGGAGCCCCCATCGGGGCGGTCTTGGGCAGTCTTGAGGGGTTCTCGAGCCGCCCGTCGTGGGACATCCTTGGACAGGGGGGTTATTGAGGCTATCGGAGCGTTCCCCGAAAAGAAAAACCTTAGGCCGAGGCGCTTCGGAGGCAAACAACAATGTTGCTTGTTGAGGTGTTCGGCCAGCTGGAAGCCTGTACGTGCGCTTTTCCAGGCTACGAGTGGCCTGGTGGAGCATCGTGGGAACATCTGGTGGCCCGTGCGCTGCTAGTCCGGAAACACCGCAAACGCATACAGCGAATCACAGCCGCCCCCATGCCATTTAAAAGCGCTTATGTGGCCGGATGCTGCGGCCAGAGCTCGGCCCAGCTATGGGATTACGTTTTCCCCGGCCGTTGTGAAAACCCGTCGGGGAACATGCGGGGGAGACAGGCAGAAATGAGGAGAGGGTGTTGGAGGACATCTTGGGCATCTTAGGGGCAGCCTTGAAGCCGTTGTGGGGGCCTCTCGGGTCAGGTGGCCATCTCGAAGGCCTATTGGGCGCTCTTGGGACCACCGTGGTGGCGTCTGGGGCCGTCTTGGTTCCGTCGGAGGGCAGAGAGTGAGCAACGCCAAAACTCTCCACAGACCAAAGGAAACTCAATGATTTCGCCTTCTGCGGGCCGTCCTGGAGGTCTTCTCGGAGGCCCGAGGCCATCTGGGGGGCGCCTCGGCCCGTCGTGGAGACGCCTGGGGCGCTCTCCTGGAGCCATCGCAGCCGTCTTGGAGACCGTCTTGGCAGTCTCGGAGGTCCCCTTGGGGCCGTCTGGGGCGAGAAGACCGACAGCCTGGGAATTTGGGAGGAAAAATCAAGGGAGGAAAACCCAAGGAGGCCGAATTTGACAGCCGGGGAGGAAAAACCAAGGGAGGCCGAATTTTCAGGGTGGCTGGCGCAGTCGGCCGAAGGCCCATTGGGCGTTTTCAATAGGACCAAAGACGATTTACAGTCAAGCACGTTGTGCACATTCGTGGCAAGCCACATGGGGGCGGCGGATCGAAGACGCTGACGGCGAGTCACCACCGCCCCCTGCCCTTTGGAAGCGCCTATGTGGCCAAAGGTTGCGGCCAGAGCTAGGCCAAGCTATCGGACTGTGCGTTCCCCCAGCCGTTGTGGAAACCATTCGGGGAACACTTGGGTGGGAAAGAAGAAGAGGGGGAGAGGGGGGGGGGGAAAAAAGAGGAAGGAGAAGGAGGAAGAGGATGCCTTTATGGAGCCTCTTGGGGCACGCTTTGAGCATCACGGGAGCTTCCTGGGAGCCTCTGGGAGGTTCTGGGGGGGGGGGCTTCTTTAGGCCTCTTGAGTGCCTTTGGATGCTCCTTGGGAGGCTCTTTGGCCGTCTGAGGGCGTTCCTGGCCCGCTTTGACGCCGCGGGAACCGTCTTGGGGGCCTCTCTGAGCCAAGTTGGAGCCCTCTTGGGACGCTTCAGAGCCGTCTTGGGGGTCTCCTGGGCCGTCTTGAGGCCTTGAAGCCATCTTGAAGACCTCTTGGGCCGTCAGGTGCCATCTTGAAGCCATCTTGAAGCCATCTCTGAGGCCTCCTGGACGCTCTTGGGGCCATCTTGGTGGCATCTGGAGCTTTGTTGGACCGTTGGACAGCTGATCATGAGCAGTAAACACCAAAATCCGTCAAAAACCTAAGGGAACTCAACGAGTTCGACTTCTGCGGGCCTTCCTGGGGGTCCTCTTGGATGCTTCTAAGGCCATCTTGGAGGCCTCTTGGGCGTTCTTGGGCGATCTTGAGGCCATGCTGGCACATTTTGGGGGCGTCTCAGCCCGTCTTGGAGACATGCTGGGTCTTAGGGGCCATCTTGGGGCCATCGTAGCCGTCTTGGAGACCATCTTGGCTGGCCTTGCGGCTCTCCCAGGGCCGTGCAGAGCGGGACAATCGACGACCTGGGGAGTTTGCGGGTCATGCATCCAGGTATTCCCTCCTCGCGCGTCCTTCTGGGTGGCCGGCGGGCTGGGCCGAAGGTCCCTTGGAATCTGTTCGATTCAAAAAGAACTAGCAACTACCTACAGTGCCGTTTAATACATGCTCCGCGTGCGGAGCATGTATTAAAAATGCAGGGATTTAGTATTAAAAGCAATGATGAGTTCATGCATAAATATATTCATAAATTGATCATGTATTAAAAATCATTGTTTTTATCCCATGTGTTAAAAACTGCCCTGTAATGTCTGGCATGCCATGCACCCATGTGGCAAGCCAAGAGGTGGGAGCGGATCTAGCGGCACTCGCTCGGCCCCTCCCGTCACCGCGCCCAGGTTGCAGGTGCAGAGGCCTCTTGGATGCTCGTGGAGATCTCTTGGGAGGTTTTGTCGGAGGCCTCTCGGAGGTGGTTTTGGGTGTGCCTTAGGGCCTCTCCGGACCTCTTGAGGGCATCTTGCGGCTTGATTTGGGCGCATCGGGGGCCTATTGGAGCTTCTTGGAGGCCCCTTTGGGGCCTGCTGGCGGTCTCGGGGGTCATCTTGGGGCGGAGAGCGCGAAATGTAATTTCGAGTTCTTCATATTGGGGCCATTTTGGGCCGTTTGGGGGCCTCTTGGACCATCTTGGAGGCCTCGTGAGTCGTCTCGGGGCTTTCTTGTGGGCTTCTTGGACGCTCGTGGAACGACATTGGGGACCTCTCGGGTCGTCTTGGAGCGTCGGCTGCTCGAAAATGCGAGAACGCTGAAATCTTGATTTGGAAGATCAGTGATTCTGGCCTCTTGGGGCCCTCGTGAGGGAGTTCTTCTACAGTCGGGGCGCTGAAGAAGGAACCCTTTTCGTTGGGGAGGGGCTCGGTGTTCCTTGATTGTTTCAGAGTTTGCCTCGGGTTTCCTGAGGCTTTCCATGGGAAATCGAGGTTGAAATTATGGGAAAAAGGGGCCTCGTTCCTTATTTAGGGTTCCTTAGGTCAACGCCTCGACTGTAGAGCCCTCTTGAGGCTTCTTGGGGGCCTCGTGGACCGTCTGGGAGGGCATCGAGGGCAGTCTTTAGCGCAGCCTTGGGCCTTCTCGGACGCTCTTGGGCGTTCCTCTGGAAAAGCCTTGAGGTCCTCGGTGTTGTTGTGAACGGGGTCGCCGTCCCTGAGGCCCACGCGGGCAGCCCTGGACACGCCCAGAAACGCCCAGGAAGTCTGGGAAACTCTGGTCCAAATTTTGAAGGAAAGGGAACAAAAAAACTGCAAGCCCTCTCTAAACCTCAGGAGGGCATGAGCATCGGGTCACTCTACTGCGCGCTGACGGCACGGTGGCGGAGACTCGTATGAATGCATGTATCCAGTGGCCGGCGGACTTTCCCGTCACCATGCTTGGGTTGCGGGTCAGAGTTCTCAGGGATGAGTCTTCGGCTCTCTTCGGAGAGCTCTCGGTGGCCTCTTGGGAGCAGTTTGGGGGCCTCTCGGGAGTCCCTTGGGGGCCTTTTGGGGGGCCTCTTGGGGGCCTCCTGGGAGCCCTTTGGGCCGAGGGCTCGAGGCGTCCGCTCGGGCTCCTCATCTGGGCCCCTCGTGAAACCGTCGTAGTACCCTCTCAACCCGTCTTGGGGCCCTCCTCTTCCTCATCCGCCTCCTCCTCCTCCTCCTCCTCCTCCTCCTCCTCCTCCTCCCTCCCTCCCTCCCTACCTCCCTCCCTCCCTCCCTTCCCTCCCTCCCTCCCCCTCCCTCCCTCGCTCCCGCCCTCCCTCCCCCCTTCCCGCTTCTGGGGCCGTCGTGGGGCGATCTTCGGGGCCTCGTGGGCCCTCCTGGAACGTCGGGAAGCCGAAAAGGCGAGAACGCCAAAATCTGCTTGTCAAAACCTGCGAGGAGCCAATGCTCTTGGCCATTCGGGGCCCTCCCGGGAGGCCTCTCGGAGGCCTCTTGGGGCGTCTTGAAGGCCTCGTGGGCCGCCTGGGGGCCATTCGGGGCCCTCCTGGGAGGCCTCTCGGAGGCCTCTTGGAGCGTCTATGAGGCCTTGTGGGCCGTCTGGGGGCCATCTCGGGCCTCTCGGAGCGATCGTTCGGCGACTCGGAGCCTTTTTGGGCGGTTTTTGGGGGCCTCTCGGGGCCCTCGTGTCCCGCCTTGGGGCCCTCTCGGCTCCGACAAAAGCCATGGG